TCGGTGTACTCATCCCAACACGATCAGCCAGCAATGCGCGGAAAATGCTAGAGGATCCAAGCCTGAAATGAAAATAAAAAAGCATTCAGGGGTCAAGAATTATCGCAAATAAGAAATGAAAAATATAAAACAAAATTCAAGGATAAAAAACTATTACCACTAGTAGGGTCGTGTTGTTTATGGTTTGCTTCGTCGTCCTCTGACATCCATCTCTTAACATCGAATACAGAAATGCAAGGCAAGCCATCCCCCCAGTTGTACTCATAGATTCGTGTAAGATCCAAGAAGTATCGGAGGTATGCAACGCCAGTGTAGGTGGCACTCGTGTCCACAAAAAGCACAGTGCAAACTAAGAATATAAAATAACACCTCAAAGCATGAATCATATGTATGGCCACCTCCTGGTCATCACCATCAGCCTGCGCTATAGCAACGAGCGCCTGATCAAATCTCTACTTCAAGAACGAAAACCTAACATGAGCACCCCTAGTCATATCCACCTTCTCCAGCGTCTTCTTTGGATCATCCCCCAGATGCTCCACCTTCATACTGACCGCCTCGTCTTTGGTTATCCTACCATGATGGAGGAATCTCACTCTGATCAGTTGATACAACAAACATGAGACATCGTCTTGTGTAATCGACATCTCACCATGCGGGAGATGAAAGGAAGAGGTCTCAAATTGCCATCTCTCCACGATTGCATTAAGCATCTCGTGGTTAACCAAAATGTAACCGATCAAGCATAGGTCATTCGACCCTTAAGCGGTCAGAACCGACTAAAACCACTCTGCATCAGGTTGATGCAATGCTAAAATCTTCTGCCCATGGTTCAAAAACTTCTGAGAATCACGCACCTACAAATTTCCATAAATAATCAACATCTATAAGAACTAATGTTAGAAATAATCAATGTCAGCAATTTAAATTAATGTAAAAAAATATAGTAACAATGTGACTAATGTTACCTCTCCATCCAAGATATGTCTGACAATGTGGTTTGGGTACAAAGGAAGTATGGAGACATCAGATGGACCCCTCCGAAAGCCTCTGACTCGGCATCAGCAACATCACCCTCCAAAGGTGGCACTGGTGCATCCCGATCAGCAGGTGCAACCAGACCAACAGTAGGTGGCACAGGTGCATTCTGATGCTTGCGGGAGAATGGGAGAAGTGACGCATCAGCTGGTGCATTCCGTGGTTTGGGGGAAGATGATGAAGGTGAAATGGGCTAAGATGTAGATGGATTGGCCTGAGATGGAGATGCAGTGGCCTGAGATGAAAGCTGAACCCCAAGAGTGGACTGAGCCTCATGAGTAAAATTTACACCAGCAGTCGACGCCTCTCCCTGACCAGAGGTACTTGCTGCATCCGGACCCGACTGGCTAAGCTCTCGTCTAACGGATGCGTGCTGGACAACCCACGCATGCCTCAATCGGTCGGCTCTTTCATCCATTATGTCTGTCAGGTATAATATAATTAATCGTACAATGATTTTACCCAATAAGAAAAATTATAAAACAAAAAGAAAAAAAAAACATATTGAGAAATCTCGGAGATACATCTCCGGAAAAATTCAAAGTCTCATGTACCCTAGGTGATTCCGGAGATACAACTACAGAAATATTCCGCAGATGTATCTCCTGAATCACCCAGAGTACATGAGACGTTGAATTTTTTCGAAGATGTATTTCTGTAATATTCTACAACTCAGAGGTCGAGCCAATGACGTCCTCTGCCCCTCATAATGACAAATTTGAAGCCCTGATCATCCATTTGAGCCAACAAACAATACATGTTGTTACTATAAACTATGTTTCATCTTATTTCTAAACATTTCGACACCTAACAATGGATTCTAACTCGTTTACAAGAAAACTCGAATATTTATTGGAAGCTCAAAAAATTTACCCGGATTATATGATTCGGAAGATGTTGAATGATGCATTGGATGCAGCTTGATGATTACTTGAGCCTCGGACGGAAGAAATCAAATTTGGTGAAGTTTGAGAAATTTAGGAATGAGAGAGATGAAGAGGTTTGTGAATGGAAATGAAAAAGTGAGGGAGGAGAGGAGTTTGACACGATAATATGCTCCAAATTGTTCTAGAGATATATCTCCGGAATATTTCACGTTAAATTATGCTTTGGTGGGTCCGAAAATATATCTTCGGAATGTCTTAATGTTTAGTTAAATTATGATACGTTCAGAGATATATCTCCAGAAATTAAGAACATTATAGGAAATCTGCATGGTGTCTAAGAAGGTCATGGGGGTACCTTAAAAAAGTCTCTTAATTATTTGAAAAAAGAAAACAAATGTTGCATTGTTTTGGACCAATATCGATTGTTTTATCTTAAACCTACAAGGTCAAATACCTTGTGATCTCATTTTATATTTGAATGATTTTTTCATATTTCCGAAAAAAACTCATCTTTTCATATTTTTGAAAAACCCCAACTTTTTCATATTTCCAAAATAATTTGAATTTTTTCATATTTTCGAAAAAACTAAATTTTTTCATATTTATGAAAAAAAATCGATTTTTTTTCATATTTTCGAAAACACTATTTTTTTTCATATTTTTGATAAAACTTGACTATTTCATATTTCCGGTAAAAAAATCTCGACTTTTTCGTATTTTCGAAAAAAAACTTAACTTTTTCATATTTTCGAAAAAACTCGACTTTTTAATATTTCCGGAAAAACTCGAGTTTCTCATATTTCTGTAAAAACTCGACTTCTTCATATTTTCAAAAAAAAACTCTATTTTTTCATATTTCCAAAAAAACTCAACTATTTTATATTTTCGAAAAAACTCGACTTTTTCATATTTTTAAAAAAACTCAAGTTTTTATATTTTCGATAAAACTCGACTTTTTTCATATTTCTGAAAATAAAAACTTGATTTTTTTATATTTTCGAAAAAAAACTACATATTTTCGGGAAATTTTTTTTTACTTTTTCATATTTTTGGAAAAAACTCGATTTTTTGTATTTCTGAAAAAACAGACAACATCGATATTAGTTTTTTTTATAATTTTTTAGAAAATAAATTGTTTTTAGATTTTTTTTTAATCTCAATTAATTTTTTATTCTTTTTATTAAAAATTATTTAATTTATATAATTAAATCAGTTTATAAAAAAAAATTGATTTTGAATCGGTTTTAAATTGAACTTGAATTGTTTTAATTAAATAGTTCAATTTAAGTGGTTCAATTTTTTTGTGATGCAATAGAGTTCAATTCAAATATACAATTCAGTTAAGAGTTGTGTAGCAACATTCTTCCAAAACCTCTCTTTTTTTATTGGTTAAAACATGTGTGAATCTCTCACTTTATAATTAGATCACACATAAAGTGGTATGATCCACACATATTTTAACCAATGAATAAGTGATTATTATAGAGTATTGAAAAAAAGAGTGTTATTAACATTTCTCTTCCGTTAATCATATTTTTAAACACCCCTACTATAAATAATCTAGTGTGTCTGATAAAAGTCAAGTACTAGAAATATTTCTTTAGTTATCCATAGTTTTGAACACCCCTACTATAAACAATAAACAATAGTTTTGAACACCCCTACTATAAACAATAAACAATCTAGTGTGTCTGATAGAAGTCAAATATTAGAAATATGTTATACATTTAACAAATGAATTTGGTGCTGATTTACTTTCATTGTAAAAGAGTTATTTTTTAATGCATTTTTTAGATTTTACTTGGCTGCTGATTTATTTGGATACTTATTTACTTTGGTGTTGATTTTACTTGGGTTCAACAATATAAAAAATCAAAAAAATGGCTTATCTGCATATTTACTATCTGATGATTTTAAATTTGTTGTTATTTAATACTGGATGATTTTAAATTTGTTGTCATTTAATATTCATTCTGGATGATTGTAATTAAAAAAATGTAAGTGTTGTGTCCTTTTAAATAGATTTTATAAATGGCTAATATATTGCTTTAATATATTATTGACCTTGTGATGAATGATATATATGTATATCATTGTAGTATTCGTCTTGTGATAAAAGAATTGGTCATATAATGAAAAAATAATCTTTAATTCATCAATGAACTATATAGTATTGGACAATTAATTTTGGAACGTCCAAACAGTTCAAAAACTGGTCAAACCGAAAAACCAAAATAAAATTAACTTAGAATTTAATCTTATTTTAGCACACACAATTTGGTTTAAGTCTAGTTAGGAAGTTTGAGCGACTGGACACCGGACTCGACCGATGGTCCACCCCTAGTTGGACCCTTGTAATAGCAACTAAAGCAATTAAAAGAAAACAATGCAAAAAATAAGTCCAAAACGACTGCACCCTACGTAATACAGATTTACAATGTGCCGAGAAAATACACAAACATGCAACGCACATAACAATTTAATGTTAATTTCTTTTGTAATAGGAATCATATGAACATACAATAATAATTTTCCAATTTTATTAAAAGACTTTTAGACTTTCACAGGAAAAATAATAGTTCTAATTTTCTTTAGACAAATATTAGTTCAATTTTTCTCTAAAAGACGTAAAAATAAAAAGATATTATAAGTAATGGCGATACAAATAACAAATGTAGAACATCTCACGATACTTAAATTCAATCAATTATATTGAGAAGAGTTTACATCTCTAAAATCCTTCATGAAACTTCATGAAAGTAAAACTTAATAAAGATTTAGACATTTCTCGGGAGGGTTGACTGTTTAATAGATCGATCCTGCTTATATGAAAAGAACTTATAACAAAATAAGATTTATACGTAGAATATAATTTGTTCCCTTCGAAAGAGAAGAGACCATTTTCAATTCCATTGCCATTGAAAGATTATAAGAAAAACTTAAATAATATTCCCAAAGGAGTCATATTGTAAAATACAAACCAGGAAATAAGCAAACTAAATAACTTCAAAAATGAAGAAATGTTTCAGAAAATCTAACAAAACCAAAATAAGAATTACACAAAAATTTAAGGGTTTACTCATCAAAAAGACCAAAACCAATGTCGTCATCAGATTCTTCTTCAGGTTCTTCCTTCTTCTCCTCCTTGGCTGCAGCTGGTGCAGCAGCAGCTATATCAGCAGGAGCAGCAGCAGCAGCTACAGCAGCAAACTTACTTGGATCCTGCATTTAACAAAATTTAGGAATACAAAATTAGGAAATAATTATAATTTCATAATAAGTTCAATTATAAGTCCAACACAAGCAAATACCTTCAAATACTCCTTAACCTCATCAGCCTCTGGGTAGGAATATTCAGTTGCCACTGCAATGGCAAGAACATTCTTGTAGGCATTCACAAACATGTGAGGTGCAGCAGCGAGTGTTGGGTATGATATGGCCAGGGAAAGTGAAGTAACCATTGAAACACCAATAGCAAACTTCGCAACAAGGTCGTCATCAGTGAGATCAAGAACCTCAGGGCTGAACACAGAGCCGTTATCATAGACAGAAAGAACCACAAGACCATATGAAAAGGGCCTAATGCCTAGCTTGGCGAGCAATGCAGCTTCAGAAGATCCCACCTTGTCTCCCTTCTTGATGAGTTCAACCGGTGTAATGATTTCAACAGTACCCTTGTTAATCTTAGTGGGAATGTTGAGAACCTATAATTTGGAGAACAAACACAAATCATAAGCATTAAATAACATCAACCAAAATATTATACATATTCCATTGGAGAAACATGACAAACCTGGAAGAAAGAGGTCTGGGATGGGTCGAGCCCTGTGTTGCCAGGAGGAACAACAACATCAATGGGAGCAACCAAACCAACACGGGCAGGGGCTCCAACCTATAAAAGTTATTAGAGAAAAATTGTTAACCCCAGTCACAATTAGGCAGATGAAAATGGAAACTATATGCAAAACTAACATTACAGCATTGAAACAGACAACATAACAATCAATCAGAACGTCCTAATGAAACAAGCCAACAAAAACAAAATTCTAGTTGAAACGAAAATAAAGAATTATATAAGATCACCACATTCATATTGCAACAACTGTTCATGATTGAAAATCTAACATTCAACAGTCAACCATTTAACATTCGAAATCAAGGATACTAGAATTTGTGATTGTTACAATACCCTTCATAAGACAAACAATTGTTTGGAATAAAACTTAATGATTTGACATTAACTAATAATGATTCAACAACCGTATAGATTTTAGTCGGGAATCAACATCAATTGCAATCTAATCACCAAACCAGTTCTTAAATAAAATCATTTTCCTTCAAAACCATTTGAAAAAATATTCACATAAACACACTAAAGAACTTATAACAGTTCATTATCATCTAAATGATTTTCAAAAATACTACTTCAAAAATATAATGGCATAACACATATATTAAACTAAAAAATTAGCATATAATTATATAAACACAACAATGAAAAGTTCGCTTTACCTTGTATTTTGCAACCTCTTCGCTAACCTCCTTCAAATCTCCTTTGGTAAAAATCAAACCAACATTTCCCTGTTAAAATAAACACATTATTCAAACCCTAAATATCTCAAATAACATTAACTAATCTCAATCAAAAATAACCTAATCAGATTACCTAAAAAATCAATTTTTATTTTGATTACATGAAGTAACACTAGTTAAAAAAAACTAAGTGCAAACTACTAAATTTGAGAACTTACAACAAGGAGAGGAATCAAGTTGATGAAAGCATTGTTCCCAGTCTTCTCAGCATGCATCCTAACAGATCTCTTCATCATAGTGTTCTTCCCCATAAGAACCACAGAATCCCCACGTAGACCGCTTCGAATACTCTGAAGCTGCTTAGATCCAACATTATCAGCATTAACAATAAGAATCTGAGAGAACTCGTCTAGAAGCTGGCATAGCTTGGCGTCGTAAGACTGCTTCTTCTCGGCTTTGGTTGGTTTTGGTGCCATTGATGAGAATTAAGGTTTTTCTAGGGTTTTTGAGATAGCAAAATTGAGGGCCAAGACGAAGATGGCGTCAAGGCGGACAGCAAAAGGCGCTGCCTCTTTAACCTCTGGTTTTGTGAAGGTTTGCTGGTGGTGGGCGTGAAAGTGCAGAAATGAAACTGAAAACCCTAGAGATGAATACGGAGGAAAGAGGATTATATAGTAACGATAGGAAGAGAAGAAATTAGGGTTGAGTTGACTGGTGGGCTTTTTCTCTAGGCCCAAACAAACACGACTATAAAGCCCAAGATATACTCGTACTCAAATTGATATCTTATATGTAAAGTTTATTATTATATATTAAATAACTTTGGTTCCTACATCAAAGTTAATTTCCTAATTCTTTAGTTATTTTATTATATAATTTTTAATTCTTTAGCAAAAATTAACATCTATTTTATTAGGTAACAAAAAATTTTAATTTATTTTCTGATGGCGAAAAATCTCACAATCACAGTCATATAATTGTAATTGTCAGAATTAACATCGGTCTTGATTTAATTTTAATATTTTTAAAATTATAAAAAAAAATAATCATTGAATAATAAAATCTTGATATTATAACTACATAAAGATGATAGCATATTCAAATTCTTCTTTAATACATTTTGTTATAGTTTTCTTTTATTTTTTTCTTTAAAATTAATTAATTAAGAATTTTATTTGGACCATTTATTTTTTTTAACAATATGTTTTTATCATATTTTGTGATGATCAAGATTATTCATTTAATTATATATTTTAAGAAAATTCTTATTTTTTTCAATTAGTTCCTTACTTTATCATCATCATATTAATTTCTAATTTTATATCATAATAATTTCTAATTTTATAATGTCTTGGATGAGGATATAGGTGTAAAAAATAAGTCATATATGAAGAGGTCCAATTAATTATTTGTAGGTATTTTGTTGAATAAGTACATTTTTAACTCTTTATTTTAAGTTCCTTTTTTTAATTCCTTTTTTTTTATAAAATTGTTTTAAATTGTTTAAAAAATAAGTTCCTTATTTTAAGTTCTTGATTTTTTAGAATTTTTTTCAAAAATTGAAATTATGGCACTAAAAGGGCAGATGTCGTTTATGATGTTAGGACATCTGAATGTCGAGTGTAATGTCAATATTTCATGACAACATAATTAACAATGAACAATTAATAAATTGCAGAAAGTAAATAACACAGATCAATTATCAATTGTTAACCCAGTTTAGTGTAACGTCACCTACAACTAGGGGCATCCAAGTCAGGAAGGATATTCATTATAATAATATTAGTTCAAAGTTCTAAACAATCTCAGGTTTTACAATCTTCGCACTTTATCACTACCTCTGCAATTTCTATTTAAGACATCACTCACTCCCCTTCAATCACACAACAGTGGTGATAAAGTAAACAGTTAAAGAAGAAGACACACTTCAAGAAATAAATGCACTATTACTTAAAAGTTTATGATTGATTCGCAATTACAACTCAACTAAAATAGTTCAGCCCTAGTATCAAGGTGATACGAGAATGGCTCACAAACAACAATGAACAAAGAAAAATCTAAAGAACTCTCACAAAAAATATGGTTGCCATCTCTACACTTTTAGGTTTAGAGTCTTCTTATAAATGACCTTTGAAAAAGTATGGACTTGATGAGAAAATTGGGCTAAATTAAATAGCACATTCATAATATTATGGAAAATTATATATTATTAAATGCAAATCCATAATATATTTTTTCCTAAAGTTAAGATCCAAATTAAATCTTCTGCAGAAACCAATCAAATCAAATCTCATGTTTTTTTAAATAATATGTCAATCATTCTTAGGAAATACTGCACAACTATAATCGAACTTTGAGCTTCTAAAAACACACGTTTCTTGGACTGTAATATACTGGAATCAAATCTTCAAATAATCATCATTAATAAAACCAAATCTTCCAAAACACGAAACAAGATCAGCTTCAGTACCGCACCAACATGTCACGACATCTGGCACGACATCTCACTGGAATACTTGAACAAGATTTGCTTCAGAATCGCACCAACATGTCACGACATCTAGTATAACATCTCGCTAGAATATTTGTTTTAACACAATGCAGCAAATCATAAAGCATACAGCCTAACAATCTCCCATTTTGGCAAATTTTGCCTAAAACAACCTTTTCAAAACATACTATGTAATAGCCAATAAACTCAAGAGAACTTCTTCAAAGAAAAAAGCACAATAAACAAACTTGGAACTTCTCCAAGATACATCAGAAGCATACGCAGCAGAACAAGATAAAACCAGACTCACAGGGAATGACACATCAGGGAGAAATAAACTCTCACAAAAGAAACTTTCTTCAGAAAAAACTAAATTCTCCCAAACAAGATGTCAAGACATCACGTATGACATCAAGAATACAATCATCTTCAGACTAGCATCTCACAGACATGTCAGTAACAAGCATCATGCTCCCCCTAAACACTAAATCATGAGCAAAAACTACTACTCCCCCTCAAGTAGTACTCCCTCTTAAGGGCAAATCAAGCATAAATAAATTCTACCAAACTACTCATATCCTCCTTTTTAGCCATAATTTTGACAAAACAACCATACATTCACCAGCAACAAAAATAACCTTTGTAGCAGATATAAAACAACCTCTGTTTCCTCATCTTTATCACCACCTTACCAGATGTCATAACAATGTATGGGACATGTGTCCCTGTAAACAACCTAAAGTGCAAAGAAATAGGAGATTCCCTCTTACATGCAATATCATAACTTACCAAAATACCAGGGTACTTACTAAGAATAATACAATTATCAGACACTTCCACTTCAGCTTACTCCTCATCGCTCATACCTATAAACTTGTTGATAATTTCAGAAGAAAACTCCACACATTTACCTCTATCATAAACTTTCATGTACTTCTTGCTCGTCTTACTATCACAGTCCTTAGAAATGTGTACAATGAATTTCTTCACAAGCATCTCATAACAGTCACCAAATCCAATAACACTCTTCATCAAACTAACATTCTCAATAAGATTCACCACCAAATAAAGGTAAGAGAAAGTATTTGTTGCACTCCTTCACGCCTGTAATTGCTATAACTCCTAAAACGTGCAAATTCCAAATTCGCCCCTTATTTTTTCAAATTGATTTGCATCCAAAGCCTTAGTAAATATGTCTGTCAATTTCTTCTAAGTGACCACATGCTCAAGAGTAAGAATTTTATCCTCAATAAGATCCCTAATAAAATGACGATGAATGTTAATATGCTTTGTCCTGCTATGTTGGATGGGATTCTTAGATATATTAATTGCACTCAGATTGTCACAATATAATGTCATGACATCCTGTTCGATATTTTATTCTTGTAACATTTGTTTCATCCAAATTAATTGAGAGCAATTGCTTTTTGCAACAATATACTTAGCCTGTAGACAAAGACACAATTTTGCTTCTTACTGAACCAAGAGATAAGATTGTTTCCCAAGAAGAAACATCCTCTAGAAATAGTTTTTCTATCATCAGCACTACCTGCCCAATCTGAATCACAACACCCTACAAGCATGGAATTTGGACTATGAGAATACAATATTTCATAATAACTAGTACCATTGATGTATTTCAAGATCCTCTTTACTTGAGTAATGTGACTCATTTTAGGCTCAGTCTGATATCTAGCACAAACTCCTACAGCAAAAGTGATGTCTGGTCTGCTAGCTGTAAGATACAACAGACTACCAAGCATACTCTTGTATAAACTTTGATTTACATCAACACCTTTTTCATCCTTAGTTATTTTCAAGTGTGTTGCAGTTGATGTCCTTTTGCGACTAGCATTTTCTAAGCCAAACGTCTTTACTATATTCTTAGCATACTTGCTTTGAGAAATTAATATAGTATCATCCGTTTGTTTAACTTGAACACCAAGAACATAAGTTAGTTCACCAACATGACTCATCTCAAATTCAGATTTCATTTGCTTAACAAAATGTTGGACCATCTGGTTTGACATCCCTCCAAACACAATGTCATCGACATATATTTGAGCTATCTTGAGTTTAACATGCTCCTCTTTAACAAGTAAGGTCTTGTATATACCCCATTTCCTGTAGACATTGTTGACAAGAAACTAAATTAACCTTTCATACCAAGCTTTAGGTGCTTGCTTAAATCCATATAGAGCTTTGTTTCATTTGTAAACATGATCTAGAAAACTAGGATCTATGAACCCATTAGGTTGTTTAACATACACTTCTTCATTCAAGTACCCATTCAAGAAGGCAATTTTCACATCCATCTGAAATAGATTGAACTTTAACATACATGTCACTCCTAAAAGTAACCTTATGGGTTCAAGATGAGCAATAGGTGCAAAAGTCTCATCAAAATCAACCCTTTTAATTTGAGTGTATCCTTGAGAAACAAGTCTAGCCTTGTTTTCTGGGCACAATTCCATTTTCATTTGATTTGTTTTTGTAAATCCATTTTGTGCCAATAACATTCATCCATTCAAGCCTGGGTACTAAGTCCCACGCTTCATTCCTTTTGAGCTGGCCTGGTTCCTCTTACATAGCATTGATCCAGAATTCATCAGTCAATGCCTCCTTCACATTTTTTGGTTCAAATTATGAGACAAAACAAGAGTTGAATATCACATCTCCGGATCTAATGGTAATCCCCTCATCAAGATATCCAATAATAAGTTCCTTTGAATGATTTTTCTGAATTCTAGTAGAGGGACCTTTGTTGGCTTGAGAGCTATCTAGTTTAGTCCTTGTTGGCTCAATGTTGTACTTAATGTCTTCTATATTTTCTGAAGCATCAGTCTATTGATATGAGGTTCTAACATCTTCTTCGACATCAACCCTTTCATAATATTGAATCATCAACCACAACATTAATGGATTCCATCATGACCTTGGCTATGGTGTTAAATACCATGTAAGCTCTGTTGTTCGTAGAGTAAC